AAAGTATGATGTGATAGGTAGGGTATGAAAAAATAAGAGATAAAAGTGACTTTTTAATAAAAATAAGAATAATTTTTTGGGACGGATGAAAAAAAAGGAAAAAGGTTTTCAAAGACTGAGGGAGTATATTGTTTGTATTCTGATCATTTTGATGCGCCTTTGATACATGAAAATTAAAGCTTATGTTTTTGTCACGTAAAAACATGGCGACTATTGGTGATACACTTGCCGAAATTACAATGAATTGTAGGTGACATGAAACATTAGAAGTTCTTTGTCATGCACTCTTTCAACTTTGTGTATAAGAATTTACAAAATGTTAATTACAATATTATTTATTCTACTTTGATGCTAATGTCTACAATATTAGAAAATTATGGTAGAAATATTTTCTTTAATTTAGAAAATATTACATTGAAAAACACTAGACTTGAACCCGTGCGTTGCACGCCCTAATTATAAATTATATAATTAGGGAAAACATTGATATAATTAAGAGATTAAATTTGGTTTTAGCAAAGATATGTAATATACATTTAAGAGGATTCGTTTTACAATTAATGCAATATAAGGAAGAATTGTAACGCCTTGCGACCCGGTCTATTAGAATTGATTAATTTAATTAATTAATTACTAACTCGAACTGGGGTTGGGAAAATAAAATCCTTAGGAAAATTATTTGATCATGTCATAATATTCGTCTTGACTGTCTGATTCTAGAAACGTAAACGGATCTCAATTCGGACCCGTTTGGGGGAAAGACCGCGTACCGTTCAGGTAAGATTTTACACAACGGAACGAATTAATGGAAGGTAACTCCCAATAACACCCACACGCCACCCCATCCCCTTAATTCCCCATCATCAATTTCATTTAATTCTCCATTCATTCCTTAACTTAAAACCTCCTCTCTTCCCCTTCATTTCCCTCACCCATTTGTAACCCCCAACCAAGTTCTCAACACTCTCTCTCTCCCTTCTCCTGTTCGGTCAAGGTAGCAAGCAGAGACGAAGAGGATTCCGGTGAGTTGACGGGGGGTAGAAGAGAAGGAAGGTCACGCAGGAGGTTCGTCCATTTGTTAGCCGTTCATTCATCCGTTTCCGTATCGTCAATCCCTTCGTTTAGAGGTTTGTACGTTGCCCTCTATCTTTAGAATTCGTAGTATAATCATATCGTTATATTCATATGATTACCCGGCTAAACATACGTGTGTCCGCATTATCATGGTTAACCGTAATCTAGACTTTTCGTTTATAACCTTGTTAATATGAACGTTTGGTAATTCATAATTTCATAGCTTATTTCAAGTGAAAACAACAACGTTCATCACGATAACTTCCAACGTAAGGACTGTACCCAAATTGGCTAAATGTGGAGCTGCGAGTCATGATAATCGATTTACAGAGTTGGATAATCGATTACCAGGCTGCGCTGAACTTCTCGTTAGAATCTGCAGAGTGTGACAATCAATTATCACTTAGCTATAATCGATTGTCACGCCCTGCGGATTCTCAAGACTGAGCTGGTTCTACTGATAATCGATTATCACTCAGCTATAATCGATTATCAGGCCTCTCGGAACTTGAGTCTCTTGGACCAAACCATCTGACAATCGATTGTCTTGAAGTGACATTCGATTATTGTGCTCTGCGGGACTTGAGGAACAGAATCTGCACAGCATGATAATCAATTATCGGCAATGAATAATCGATTATCATCCAGTTCTGAACCCAAAGTCACCTTGTTAAACAAATTGCTTTCATATCAACCATCTATGTATGCGTTGAATTTAACTTCATTCTATAATCAATGCATCCATATCATCACGTATTATCCTAGACGCATGTTTAGGATCATGGCATACTTGCATACCGCGACAAGAGGTCAGGCCCAGTGCGCCTCTTCCACGGGCCCGTTTAGGAACCTACGGGGTCTAACGGGTTCACATATCGAGGGCTTGTGTACGTACATTGTAGCTAGGCTTGGCTATCACCCACATTTCTAGTCTCCGTCAAAATGACTAAGGCGTTCCTCGGCTCATCTACCGCGTGGAGATGATCACCGAAGGGCAGGGGGTCCCTTCGTAGTCTAACTCATGCATCATGATTATTTGGCATTGCACTGTTGTTTATTCGTAACTTATTATTCATCAAACTTGTGTGTGGTATCTCATACTTATTACTGGTATGATTATGTTTATATCAATGTGAATATACTATGTGTTCTACTGTTAGAATACCACTCAGCTTTTGCTGAGCGTATAGCGTTGTTTCCCTTTGCTATACGCAGGTAGGCCAGAGGATCATGGAGCCTGACCCGGACGACTGGGTGATCGGGGCGGCGGATGAGCGACATTCAATTTCATGTAATCTCAGATCTGATTTTTTCTCCTCTTTTCACATCCAATAATTCTAGATCTTGAAATTGGGGATATATACATACAGCCTTTGATTTCAAACATTAGACTTTTTTTGTTTCGTTCTAAATTTTGAATTTTTTTAAAGTGCCAGATCTGTATTTGCGAAAACCAACGATCTGTGAAAAAAATCCATATTTGTTAAACTGAATTACACGTTCTTCCGATGATTTTTATTTTTCGGTGCTTTTAAAATCTGGAATGTTAATTCCTGTTTTTTAAAGCTATTGTACCTCATTAATCATGTTCAATAATCTATGAACATGTTTAAGGTTCAATTGCACATTAACATATCCTTTATGCTAAAAATAATTATAATTTAGATTTACCATCTCGCTTCATTAATTTTATTAGTACCTAGAAAGATTTTACATATTACTCATTAATATTTCATATATGAACCCAGAATATATATATTTTTGGATATGGTTTATACGTATATATATGTTTATATATCTGTATCCAATCTGAGATAAAAAAGTCATGATAAATTTTTTTTAATAAAAACAGTATTCATATTCTCTTATAGGCAGTAGATATCATTGTTTTAAATAGTCATTAGACCTCAATATTCATGTTCAGATTACGATTTGAGCATGATAAAGGCTAAATGGCACATTACCAGTTTCTTATGGCAGGAAATGAGTTCTAAAGACATGATTCCCTCAGGGTCTGATACTAAGAAAGGTAATTCCAAACTATTATTACCTAAGTATTAAAAAGGTCATTCCTGATTGTCTCACTAATGAATATGACATTTTGACTCTATATTTTCTATTTTCTATCATACAAACACACTATTGATTTCAGATCATCAATGTTAATTGATTCAACAAATTATCATAGGTGTTAAAGTCACCTTTGTCTGGTTCATCTTCGAAATGAAGAAATGTATTGATCCTCTGGTTTTTGGTAAGCTTTCTCATCCCAAATGACTTAGCCGTCATAGGTAACCTGATACCAATATCATTAGGGTTAATTTAGGAACATTAAATTTCATAATAATCTGGAATTAGAGCTATTTTCTTAGTCATCTCATGTATTAGTAGAGTTTTAGAGAATTGTATTATTCCGGTATTCGAAGGTAGGCAGAAATCAAACATTCACGGGGGTTTAGATTCCAAAGAATTTTTATCATAATTGGAAAATAAATTTTTTTTGGGACACATTCTATAAGGAACAAAAAGAGGGTAATGAATTACTAACCTTAGAAATGGATATATGAAAGGTAGATAGAATTACTCAAACTCAACTTCATCAATGTGGTTGTTGGTTGGGAAGATTAGAAATAAATGAGCCAAGAAAAGGGAAGTGGTAAAAGACTTGTAGTCATTTATAGTGTATTTAATTAATGCATGTAACCTAATTAGGCCTATGCTAGGTCTATGGGTTTGGATGTACACGGCTATAATATATTTTTTCACTGCATTATTTTAACGTGAATTTCTCTAAATTTTTTCACTGAACCATTTTATATTTTTTTAATGTCACTTAAAATATTATTATTTTTTAAATATGAATTTCTAATATTATTATAACACTATCACACAAATAAATAAATAGATATATATATATATATATATATATATATATATATACAGATATATATATATATATATATATATATATATATATATATATATAGGGGCTGGATCAAGTGAGAATGATCTTTGGTGAAAGAAATAAGAATAAAATTGGTTCATTGGATTAGATGCATTTGACGGATGTGATTAGTTCTGCGCTCCAAATCAAATCTAAGTTTAGTATGGAAGGATTTATTAAAAAGCATGAGATGCGGAACTACTTATTAATACAAGGGCATATTGGGTAGTGATCCCTTTCAAATGATCCGCACCAATATGTTAATATTATAATATAACTTTCATTTCATTTATTGTCTTATTGCATTGTCTATTTTTATATAACTTTTTGTACACAAGTCTATCTTTGACAAATAATATGTCATTGAAAATCTCTTGTTGAGATCTATCCAACGATACCAATATTCAATATAAAATTTTGATATTTTCTTTTTATCTAATTTTAAAGTGAGAGAAATAAATTCAGAAATATTTTTTCCTGTTATTTAACGAAATAAATATATAATCTTGAGGCTAGTTTTTGAGATGTTACACTTCTTTATTCCTTAAGACTCTGAGTTTGAGTCAACATGATGTGTAAAAAGAATAAATTCATATGGTTTAAAATGCATTTGATATAGAAAAAGATTTTTAACATCTCACTTTTTCAAATTTTTCATAGGGAAATACATTGTGATGTACACAACTATAGATCTAATGTGATTGCATTGTGATGGTCGATACATGCACTGTGATTATCCTTTATATTTTATTTAAATTTTAGTTTATTAATTTGTTGATTAGTCAATAATGATTCTTGAGTGATTTTTTATGAGATAAGAAAGTCTGAGAATGTATTGTGAGCAATTGTAATACAAATTTGAAAAATAGTTTGCCTATGCGGGATTCGAACCCACATCTATAGTACATATCGCTCTACCATTTGAGCTAATAGGCAACAAACTATTTTTGCAAAGAAACTCTCATCTTGCAATTAGACATATTAAATACACATATTTTTCTTTTAAAATTAGAATCATTCAATGCGTGCTTTTAACACATAATCAAATGTATCATAGAAAATTTTAAATGCATCAAAGCTTTTAGAATTTGCAATGTCTAGAATATATACATGCATCACTTCTAGAGAATTTCACTAATTTCACTTTGATTCTAAGAATATAATGCATAATAACAAAATGCATTATCCTTTACCGTGATTCTGAGAATGCATTGTCCTCTCATGTAAATGCATTACTTTGGTTCTGAAAATGCACAAAAACTCCCATACAAACTTTGTTCATTGAAACTTTAACAACAAATTCTGTGTATAGTATATAGTCGCACCACTTTTGTTACATGACTGGTAAGAAAGTCTGCATGAAAAGTGTTTGTGGTCTGGATTTTAAATTTTATAATAGAAGAGTGCATCACAATGAAGCCTCTTTCGAGAAAATAAATAGTTGCACCAGTTTGGTTTCATGACCACGAAGAAAGTCCGCATGAAAAGTAAATGCATTAGAAAAGGGAGATGAGTGCAGTACCCGTGATGCAAAATGATGTGCCTAAAAAGAACTAAATTTTAAAATGTAATATTACACCATAGATATCAATTATCAAATCCATATAGGCTTCGATTGCATAAAATGGTAGTTGTTTGGGACATTCTTCCCCTGAAATCAACACTCAGAGATTTAAACATTTGTGATGTGGGTCTTTACTCATTCTCTAAGAGCTTAGTATCATTGTACATTCAATGCAGCCCTAAAGTTCTTCATCATTAGCAAAATTACTGAAAATATTTATGTATCTAACACCAACATCAATGTACCTAAGATATGACAATGATTATGATACTCTAAGAGCATGGACATTTAACAAAGAGTCCCCCCATAATTAAATTCTTGAAGAAATGATATCATTCAAAAGAAATATATGGTGTTGATGTTGGAAGAATGAATAAACAAAAATAGCTAATAAAAAAATCATACTGTAACTTAAAAACTGTAAAAATAGGATAAAAGAAATCAAACTACTAACAGAAAAATTGGGGAGATAAAAAGTGTGCACCATAGTCAATTCTTTGTAAAAAAAAGGCAATAAAAATCCACTATAAAAAACATCCTCACAACTTCTTTGAAAAAAGAAGCATTGTCATTGCCATTTCTTTTAAAAATACAAAAAAAAACAAAATCAGCGGTACAAAATGCATCAAAGCCATTGCTAAATCACACAATAATTTCAAAATTATGAACTATAGAATCATCTGTATCACCACTGACATACAAAGCTAATAAAAAAATATCGGGAAGATTACTAATTGGTGGGAATAAAAATCAATCTTAAATATATAATTGAAAAACCATTAAAATAAATGAAATCAAACTTTAAAACTAAAAATGGCTAACCATTTCTCAAAATTTACCATTATTGTGTAGAAAATAAACATCACAGAACCATTAATGTCCAGAACCATTTCTTAGAATTAACCATACTTGAAATCGGAAGGCCCCATACATAATTGCATAGCCCATGAACTTCCAATCCAAAACCATTGATATTGTGCCATACGTGAATCCATTTGAAAATTCAAAGAACAAGGGCTTCTCCTTCGCTGATCCGGAAAAAGGCAAGCAAACAGAGACGAGAAATTACGAGTTGGAGTAATCATACCTTAATTAAACCTAAATCTTGAATATAGATTGGATACGAGGAGAAGAATTTCGGAGAAATGGGCTGATCTTAGGGGACTCTTAGATGGAAATAACAGTTGTGAGAAAGAAAATACAGAAATACCCTGGCGAAAATTTGGAAGAAGAATCACAGAACACCGCGGCAGATCAAGATCGGAGGGTTCTTATTTTTTCTTATTTCTTTCATTAGATCTCATTCTTATTTGAACCAAAACCTATATATATATATATATATATATATATATGGGATTGACTCCAGTGAGATGACATGCTTCGGTGAGATGACGCAAAGCTGACCACATTACACAGCAAAGCTCACCAATGGCCAATGTAAAGCTCACCTGGAAATAAAGCAAAGCTCACCACTTTGAACACCAAAACTCATTTTTTTTAATTTAGAAATTAAAAAATTAATAAAAAAAATAGCAACACCGGTCAACCACCGATCAGCGGCGGAGACCGGCTATATATATATATATATATATATATATATATATATATATATATATATATATATTACAAAACATTAATGTACGTATATTTAAATCAAAATTCGAATTCAAAGAGGTAGCGTAAAATGTTTAAAGACACATTTTAGCATAAAATGTATGTTTAGTATAATATTTTTTACAAGTAAAAAGGGAAATCCTTTTTTTAATTTTAGTTCAAAGGTGGTGTGTAAGTGTCATTTATTGGGCCTGATATGCAGTCGGCGTGTGGCTCTAGGCGTGGGCTGTTAGTGTCCATGGGCTATATTTAATGCTTTGTACCTACGTAATGATATGCTATTCTTAGGCGTGTGGATTTATACTTAAGGTCTATTCTTTCACTAAAATGTTTTCTATTTAATATCACTAAAATGTTTTTTATTAATATTTATGTAAATATGTTTCTGGCACTTTAAAAAAAATTCAATAAGAATATATATTATGAAACATACAGTCATAGAAAATATATATATATATATATATTCGAAAACATTAATGTATATATATATATATTCGAAAACATTAATGTGTATATATTTAAATCAAAATTCAAATTCAAAAAGGTAGCGTATTTTTAAAAAACGTAACTAAAAAGCATAAAAATATTTTTGAACTTCACATATTTTTAGTTTTAAAGACACATTTTAGCATAAAATGTATGTTTAGTATAATCTTTTTAACAATTAAAGAGGGAAATATCTTTTCCCTGTAAAAATGTAAATAGAAATAAGAATAGGAATATACAAATAGAACGGGCATACCCGAGCGTGGAAGTGGTATAGAACCAGATCCAAAACCAACAAATGCCATCATGGCACCGTTACAAACACCATAAAACCAACAATCAAGCAAACACAAGGCACGCAGGCCAATAAGCACCAAAAAAACAAAAGATCACTACGGAAGGGAATACAAAGGCCAAAGCCTCCCCAATATAGAAAAAACCATCACTTTGATTTTACAAATCATAGCCTCAACGCAAAGAGGTTCTCGGTCAAAGTGGGTGGCATTCCTTTGCTTCTAGATATGGAACACCGTGCAAGCTAGAGCAATCTTCCTCGTCTTCTTCATAATAGCATCCCCTCTTCGGAAAGACTTCATCCATCTGACAGCCTTGTCTAAATTGCTCAAATGCCCATCAATGCGTAACCAATGTTTAAAAGTCCCCCCAAACCTGCTGTGAGACGCTGCACCCAAAGAACAGATGGTCCACATCCTCATGTGCTTGACCACAAAGTGTGCAATCCAATGGAATTCCCAAAAATTCCAAGTTAGTTTTGGTGGGTAACCTCCTCCTAAATGCAAGCCACATCGTAAATGAACATTTAGGATGAACAGTTGAGTGCCAAATGAAAGTCATCCAAGGCTTGGGGTTGGCCTTTACCCTAAGCAAGTCATAAACCTTACTTGGAACAAGGATACTCCCCAGACAGTAAGGTTGCAAAGCCACTTCCATAGAGGAATTATGGTCACCAAGCTTTTGAACCAAAAGCTCTCGCACATAGGCTAACCTTTTAAAGAATACAGAATGTCTCTTTTTGGGTTGCCACTGCCAAAAATCAGCATCTTTAATATAAACAGAGTGCACCCTTCTCACCCAAAGTGAATCCTTCTTGGCTGCCAGATTCCAAAGATGCTTCCATAATAAGGCATCACTCCAATTACCAGCATCTTTAAGCCCCAGACCCCCCTCTATTTTGGGTTTACAAATATCAGACCAAGCCACTTTGGCGAATTTGCTCCCCCAAAGGAAGTCACGGCAGTGGGATGTGATGCGATCACGAACATATTTCTGGACAGGAAAAGTTTGGTGCCAAAAAGATTGGACTCCCTAGATGACAGCTCTAACCAATTCCAACTTTCCTGCATATGATATCTTCATAGTCTTCCACTTAGAGAGGAATCCTTCGATAGTTTTGAATAGAGGTGCATAATCTGCTTCAGAGATCCTATGTGAATCCAAAGGCAAACCCAAGTATCTCACTGGGAGTTGGCCACGAGGGAATGAAACCATACCCAGAATGTCATGGCTAGTATCCCTGTATTTCCCAGCAAGAAAGATATTAGATTTGGTAGGGTTAAGGACCAAACCCGATACACTTGAGAAATGCTCCAAACAGTCCATAAGCACTTGCACAGACAAGGAGGTCTCCCCTAGAAAAAAGCATAAGATCATCGGCAAAGGCCAAGTGTGTGATTCTCAAGTTAGCACAATCCTTGTGATAGTCGAAAGTTCCCTCTTTGGTTTTGATGTTGAGTAATCTCGAAAAGTATTAAATACAGAAAAGGAAGAGAGTTGGTGCCATAGGGTCCCCCTGTCTCAGCCCACGATTGCTCTTGAAGAATCCATGAGAATCTCCATTAACCATAATGGAAGAAGAGGCAGAGGTAACACATTCCATAACAAGAGCAACGAATCTGGAAGGGAATCCCAAAGCTAGCATGACATCCTCGAGGAATCTCCAAGATACAGTGTCATATGCTTTTGTGATATCCAATTTAATCATACAGCTGGGAGTGGATCTCCTGATAGCATAATCTTTGATCAAGTGTTGAGCAAGGAGTAGGTTATCAACTAGTGATCTGCCCTGTACAAACGCCCCATGGGCTGGATCAATCAAGTCACTAAGGAGAGGTGCCATGCGCTTCCCAAGAATCTTCGTAATGATCTTGTAAAGAACATTTAGACAAGCAATAGGTCTAAAGTCCTTCACAGAAGGGTTGTGGACAGTTTTGGGAATTAAAACAATCATAGCATGGTTGATCTGCTTCAGTAGTTTCCATGAAATAAAGAACTCCGCGACAGCCTCATAAACATCTTGACCAACCAGTGACCATTGGTTTTTGAAAAAAGCTGCTGTAAACCCATCTTGTCCAGGGGCTTTCTCATTACCAATGTCAAAAACCACATCCTTGACCTCCTCCAAAGTAACCATAGCAAGTAATCTGGAATGGGCAGATTCAGGGACAGTGGCTCCGGGTGCCAAAACCTCATCAACAATAGGCCCTACTTGAGGTGTGGTACCAAATAGATTCTGATAAAACTCAAAAAAACACCCTACAACCTCATCACTTGAGGTAGTTTTAGTTCCATCATCCTTAATAAAAAACGAGATCGCATGTTTCTTCCTATTTTTCTTGACCAGGGAATCAAAGTAGCTAGTACCTCTGTCATATTTCATAAGAAAATCACACTTAGCCTTTTGCTGATAGAATTCCAACTCTGCATCTAAAAGTAAATTAGCTCTTTTCCTCTTAGTCTCAGCATCATCTACCAAAGCTTGATTGTTAGGGTCTGCCATGACCTCCTTCATAATAAGTCTGTATTCTTCTTTAGCTTCCAAAGCTCTTCTAGAAATATGACCAAAAGCATTTTTGTTAAGGGTCTTCAAGGGTGGTTTAAGCCTCTTCAGTTTAGAACATAAAGAGAATTGTTTAGACCCATTGACCCTGGTCCCCCATGATTGGGTAACCAACCATTGAAACTCCTCATGCTTAATCCACATGTTGAAGAATTTGAATGGCTTACTCCTTCCAACAGGTGGACTACCACAATATAGCAGCATATGACTATGATCAGTTAGGTGATTAAAGTCCATAAAATCACAGGTAGGAGCCCAGCCAATATCAGCCCATTCTTGGTTGATAAAAACTCTATTAAGTTTGGCCAGCTTATTCCCCTTATGCCAAGTATAGAACAAGCCTTTAGAAGGTACATCCTCAAGGCAATTAAAGGATTTAAAAATCTGCAAATCAGTCAAATAGTAAGCTCCCTGACTCATACATGACTCATACAGTTAACCCTCTCATTGGATGCCAGTTGAAGTCCCCCAACAGAGCCCATGACTTTGTCATATTATGAGCAAAAGAGGAGAGTTTATCCCAAAGTGCTCTCCTAATAGTGACAGTGTATAGACCATAGATGAATGTTAAGCAAAATTCCTTCTGAGATGTTAGACACCTGACAGCGCAGTGGATGTATTGGTCACCAATCTCCAGCACATCACAAGCAAAAAAGTAGGGATCTCATAAAACTAGCATACGGCTACCAGGAAATAACTCAAAATTTCTGGTATATTTCCAGCCTGGAAGTTTGGCATTCACAAACATATCCAACTTGGTTCTTGAAATTTTCGTTTCCAGAATGCAGGCAAAATGGACACCAAGTTCATAAAGATATTTACACAAAAAATTTTGTTTAGAGGACCTAGAAAGTCCTCAAATATTCCAGCAGAAGATATTCATCTAGGGGGAGGGGCAATCCCCTTTCCACCTTTCTTGCCTTCTTGTCTCTTCCCAACCATGTTACCATCAACAGTTTTCTTTTTCTTCAGTCCCAAATCAGTATCCCCTGCATGTTTCGTATTAGGTCCATTATTCAGAACACCAGCCCCAATGAGTGGTTCCTTGGCATGTTCAATAGGTTTGTTTGAAGAAGAGGGAATAAGGCCACCTATGGGCTCAGAATAGGCTCCTAATATACTACTGCCACTAGCAACCCATTCCTTCCTAGAAGAAGGTGTATCCTTACCCTTCTGGGCAGCATTAGCTTCCAGGTTCTTCTTCAACTCCAGGGATCTGCAATGAAAAGGGCCATGGTTCCATGTTTTACAGTGAAAACAGTATTTGGGGTCCTCTTCAAATTCCACAGTTTGGGTGTACAGTTTACCCATACAAGCCACGTCAAAGGAAGTCACAGGCTCTTTGGAGAAGTCAACCTCAACAAGGACTATGCAAAACCCACTCTTGCCCAGCTGTTTTGTAACCAAGTCAGTTCTGAGGGGCTTCCCTACCTTTGAAGCCAGCATCCCAATACCCTCCTCTGACCACATTTGCTTAGGAACATTATGCAGTTGAATCCAGATAGGGAGAGTTGTAAACTCAGAGAAGTCAAACATAAATCCATGAGAGGGGATCTTTAATATGAATTCCTTTCCATAAGCCTTGCTTGTTTCCATACCCAACACCTCATACCCCTGTCATTTTCAAATTTGAGCACAACCCAGCCCTTGCAATGAGGGAAAATTCTGCAAGGGACATTCCAACTTTTGACAATGGCATCCACTGCCTTGAGCCCTGGGAAGCGACCAGTAAAGCATCCAACAAGGCAAAAGCCCTAAATATCTTCTACAAGTTTGATAATCTCATCAGGGATGTGAAGGACACCTTCACCCACCTCATAATGCTTCAAGATCATACCTTGGTCAGGGTCTCTATTCCCTTTGAAGAGGTCAGCAAAGGTGACCGGTTTGACACTCTCAGCAACTATTTCTGGTTGAGGCATTTTATCAAGCACCTGGGGTATCAGGCATAGCTTTCTTCTTCGACTGGACAGACATAACCTCGACCTCTTCAACGTGGGGTGGAGAGGTTGCAGAGGTGGAGGAAGCTGTTAGGGCTTTCTCTTTTCCCATAATGTCCACAGCAATATCCGTACCCAAGCTTACCTCCTTCATAACTGCCACATCCTTGTCCTTGTTCTTTGGACTCTTCTTCTTGGTTTTCTTAGCACTCTGAGCTTTGCTTCAGGAAGACAGGCCAAAAGTCAATGGAAAGAAGATGAAATAAGATCGCCAAAATATGGGGAACACAAATCCGAAATCAAATTGGAGAGAAACCTAGAAAAGAAGCTCACATGTACTCGGCTATGGTGATGGGCTACAGTAGCATCGCGTCTCCAGAGAGAAGTCTCAGCCGAGTTTTTTCTATTCTGTTCCTTGTTTTGGAAATATTTTTTTTAGTTTTAGTTCAGAGGTGATGTGTAAGTGTCATTTCTTGGACCTGATATGCTGTCAGCATGTGGCTCTAGGCGTGGGCTGTTAGTGTCCATGGGCTGTATTTAATGCTTAGGCGTGTGGATTTATACTTAAGGTCTATTCTTTCACTATATTGTTTTCTATTTAATATCACTAAAATGTTTTTTATTAATATACATGTAAATATGTTCTTCAAACAAATATATATATATATATATATATATATATATTGATGATGGCGGTTTCTCTCTCTAACTTTCCGGTGACCTCTTCGGCGGGGATATCATCCCGGAACGAGCTCAGCCAGAGGACTCTCTTCTCCGATCTCCTCAAGGGACGTGACCTCCCAGGTAAGGTTTGTGGCTTCTACAAAGCAGCTCCTTCAGTTCATTTCACGGCGGAAGAAGAAGAAGTCTTAGCCGGAAAACTGAGCAAAGCCTTGATTGGAAGATGCAGTTCGAGAGTCTCACTCAAAGATGTTGAAGATTTCCTCATCAAAGGCAAATTTAGGGATTTCAAGCTTCGGAGACTCCACTCCAACGAGATCCTTTTCCTATTTAAGAGGGATGAAGATTATCTTCGGTGGTTTCTCCGGAGACACTGGACAATCAACTCTTCAAAGATCACCATATGTAAATGGTCACCGGAACACTCACCCTAGCTTGACTCTCCGATCATCCCCCTTTGGGTTGATATTAACCACGTCCCCCTCCACCTTCTTGACCATAGCTCCTTATTCTCCATTGCTTCCTCTCTGGGAAAACCTCTGAAACTGAGAGCTAAAACTGCTATGGGCATATCTCCGGAGAGGGCTAGAATCTGCATTGAGATGAATGTATCCCTAGCCAAGCCTCCTAAGATCCATGTCCGTCTTGGCTCTAGAGACCTTTGGCTCCCATGCAGGTATGAAGAACACACACCCTACTGTGGCCATTGCAAGCGTATTGGACACCCCTTATCTCAATGCCGGAAAAGGCACCCCTCCGTCACTGCTCCGGCGGCATGGGTGGGCCAACAAGGAGCGGGAGAACATGAATGGAAGAGGGTAACAAGAAAACGACAGATTCCCAGAAAGTTTTTGAAATCATTGCCCCCTCCCACTTCCCAATACCCCAAGCATATACCCCTCTTAGCCCCCGTCCAGCAACTAACCTCCAAACCTACAACCCATCCCTCCACTCCCCCTAGCCACCCCAACCCTCCCCCTAAATCCGTCCGAAACCCTCCACCTTTGGTGGTAGACACCCTGGATTGTCCCTCCACCTCTTGGGCCCACCCCATGCAGACACCATCCCCTCAACCTCCTTCATCCTCCTTCCCCCCTGATCTCTCCTTCCTTCAACCCAGCAGCAACCCTTGCAAGGACATCATTCCTTTCCTCCCACCCCCTTGCCCCACTCTACTCCTTAGGAGTAGAGATGACATCTTCACAAAGGACGTTACTCCTTCCTGGGAAAACTTACACTATGAAGACGAGGTGGAAGAAGAAATCTCCCCTGTCTCTTACCACTCGGATGGAGAACCTGGAGCTGTTCCTTTTATCTCAGCCCCCTTGGAAATGGTCACTCATCAATCCCCTAGAGCGTCAATGCCATGGCAGCCAAGCCTTAGCAATACTCCTGCCATTCATCCAGGTTATGCCACAAGGAGCAGGACTAAAAAAGAGGTACCCCAAAACCTCTCCTAATGAATCTCATCTTCTGGAATGCCTGTGGGGTTAGTTCCTCCCTCAGCAGGCTTATATTCCTCAAGAGGAAATTTAATTTGCACTTCCTTTGTGTTATTGAACCCACAAACAATATGTCTCAACTGGAGCTCTTCAGGATTAAAATTGGTTTCTCTAATGCACTTAGCTCCTCCAACAACAAAAGATGGATCTTTTGGGACAACTCTAATCTTTCCCTGACCTCATCTCAAGACAGCAACCAAATCACCCACTGCCTCTTCCATGTTCCTTCCACTAATACACCCCTTCTCATTTCCTCAGTTTATGGAGCTCATTTAGTTGTTGAAAGAAGAGAACTTTGGAGCAATTTACAAGAAGCCAGCACAACAGACTATCAATGGATTGTAGGGGGGGACTTCAACACTATATCTTCACTTACTGAATTCAAAGGAAGATGTATCCCCAACACCCAAGGCATGCAGGATTTCAACAATTGCATCTCCCACTGCCAACTTGTCTCACTTGAACCCACTGGAGGCCTTTTCACTTGGTCTGGGGTCAGGAGCCAAGGCAGAACATGGAGAAGACTTGATAGAGCTCTTGTCAACCTCCCAATCATAGCTCATTTTGATGATATCACTCTTAAACACCTAGCCAGGTTCAACTCTGACCATAAGCCCCTCCTTGTTCAATGCATCCAAAAGGATTACTCTAGACCTAAACCATTTAGGTTTCTGGATTGCTGGATGTAGATCCATTGAAGCAAATCACCCACTGCCTCAAAATGCTGGTTGTAGATCCATTGAAGCAAATAACTATACCTGGAATTCGTGAGCATCATTGCTTCAAGGCTCATCTTCCACGCTATTTGGTTGTTCCTCCTCCTGATGCAATGCAGCACTTGAAGAAGGTTTTCCCTTATCAATGCAGCACATGATATTCAAAATTCTTAAATGTACCTCATTTTTTTCTTCCTATATTGCTTATAAGTAAACAAATGATGCAAAACACTATCTCTATGAGCAGGTTAGTGAAAGTTAAATGATATGTTATACTGATGCTTTCTTTTAATTTATAGAATTGAGAATGATTATGTTTTCAAAAGGTTTGGCTACGATATAGATTATCGCATTGAACCAATAAGGTGTTTAAGACTAAGTCTGATTGGATATATTAAATTTATTTTTCATCTACCGAACTTTTTCTTTCTCTTATTCTAAGCTTATGAAGTCTGCTTTCATCATCTCTACCCTATCTTCCTACAACTCTACCTGCTTTGGTTTTAACTTAAGGTCACTCACCCTTTGCAGATCGATGAGGAAATACTGCAATAAGTAGTTAGAAAGGGATTTGATAGGGGCCAACTACTCGAACCCCTAGGAAATAGAGAAGAAAATGATGTATGCTACTGGAAGTCTTTTCATTTTGCAATTTTAGATAAAAGGTCATTAAATTTTGTTGTATTTTGTTTCCATCTATGTTATTATTCTTTTCCCTTAAATTAAACAATAATAATATAGAAGAGGAAACTTTGGATTCGTTGTGCAACATCCTTTCCCACTTATTTTACCTTTGTACTTAGAACACATGACTAAACTATTGTAAGTTCACAAATCATTAACATCAATTTATATCTTGAATTGTGGAGAAATTACATTCTCTTGCATGGCATGAATGTAGAAACTGAGATTTTATGCATGAAATGAAACAATTTAAATGAAACATCTAATAAATATGGAGTACTACAAAGTAATTAATATAAGATTAACTTTTATTTTTTCAGAACAGAGCATATGAAATGTTAACTTTTAATAGAGATCAGTTTTATATATGACGAAGATTGTAATGAATCACAAAATCAATGCATATCTATTAATATCCTGAATTATTATTGATAAACAATGGAAAATTTCCCAAAAAATGTATACTTTTATTATATATATTGCTGCATAAATTTAGAACTTAATAAGACATATATTTACTATTTAGGGATATAATATATCGGCTATAATAAAAATTATATTTTTAATATTATTTATTTAAAATTTTTAGAATTGTTTTTAATTTATTATATTCTTAAATTGTAGAATTAATATATTCCCGTGCAACGCACGTGTGAAATACTAGTGTGTGTGTGTGTGTGTGTGTGTGTGTGTGTATTTTGGAATATTCTTTTTAATTTTTGAAAGCAGAAATAAATCTCATATTATATTTATTAATTGATATTTATATGAAGTTTAAATGACTTTAAATGGGCTAGATCCATGTTGGCGTGCCGGTGTAGGTGTGGGCTGTCCAAGTACATGGACAGCCAAATAACCACGTCAATAGCCGATTAAAAGGCCAAATAGCAAATCTCGACTCCATACAAACGCAGGCCCATACCCAAAACTATTCCCAATTTTTATAAATTTCGGCAACATAATAGGTCTTTCATACCAAATCCCACTCAATACGAAGTGCAATCTCACAACATGAGAAGTTGAATATTTTAAATGTTCTTAATCTTTTATTAAAATAATTTCAAAGTGATTCATTAATTGTGTTTTAAATAACCAAACAACTTTCCAGTTTTCGATTTTCTTTACTCCTTTTTTTGAACTTTCACGAATATTAAAAATAATTTATTTTAAATTCATTTTGAATATTATGAATAAATACTAAAAGATCATGGGCCATGCGTATGGAGTTGTACAACAAATTTAAATTGCGAAAAATAAGTGTGTCCAATCATTCCCAATGCTGGTTTATAAAAACAAACATTTATTGCACCCTGATCCGCTAACCTGAGCCACACGCCGAATACACTTTTCAATGTAATAAATGACACTACAAAAAATCCCAATTGATCCATCCCTTTGGTCTATCACTAATTCTTTTTTAATAAAAGTTATAGGAATTAAAGAATTTTAATCCCGTATTCTATGTTTGGTGATTCAGGTTATTTGTGGTAATGTTAATGGTTTTATGCTATATATTTTGTGAGCATATTCTCATATATTTTCGTGAGTATATTAATTTAAGCAGTGTTATGTTATGCTTATTTAGTTCACGTTATCTAAATCTCTCAATTTATTGTATGTAATTTAGAAATGCATGGTGAAAGATTTTTTACGCCACAAAAAAAATTAAAATAACATGAGTTTCAAAAGTTAAAGCCAATACCATAACAAAAAAGGTTCATAAACCCGAAATTGACCCACACCATAACAAACCGCATCACAAAAACAGGTGGGGTATTCAAACATACAAAATCACAATGATTTTTCAGTCCCGAGTTTGATGTTCAGTCTCTAGGAGTTTCCTTCTTCATTTTCTTGCTAGCACTTGTTGACATTTCATCAAATAGATCCCTCTTCAAAGTTTCACTATGATCCAAATCGAGCATCCTTCTTGGCTTGGTATTGACACTCTGGCTAGAACTTGGATCATTGGAACCAATCTATAAGAGAATGAAAAATATTAGTAATGTAATAACAATAAATAGTATTAGGGGACATACTTATTAAAATTTTAGCTTACCACTTCATGCACCTTTTGGCTCAAATCCTCAAGAGATGCCCATAGACCCTCACTCTCTCTGTCAGCTTCTTCATCTTCAATCACAACCAAATGTTCATACTTGCTCAAGATTGTAGGGTCGGTAACTAAAGACCTCACCCCAAAAGCTCTCGGTCCATTCCAACTTGGACTCCCAACTTCGGACTTCACCACTACATGGAACAAACCCTTCCGACCAAGGAAGCAATTTAGTTCAAGCGGTAGGAAGTTTGGGTCCATCTCTTTCTGAAAAAAAGAGAATAACATTACAATTTAATTCGTTTTTTTGGGAAATACACTAAGTTCCTAATTACTAAAAAACTGATAATTATAGTTTTTTCCAAACCTCAAGCATAATTTCCCTCAGTAAAAACGCACTTGCACCCAAGACTTCTTTACACTCTCGGTCCCAAAGTACGAATGAAGCGTGTCCGGTGTGATCATAGACTCGAACACTGACCTTGTACCTATTAAATAAAGTTTGAAGCATGGTTATTTTTTCAATTACATGGATATTACCGAATATGTGATATGTTTATTTTTAACATGTATCAATGTTTAGCTGTTTACCTATACACCCCATGTGGTATGGTAACTACACAACCCGAACACTTGAACTTATCACCATCCAGAATGACGTTTTTGTTGCACTTTGTACAACCCAAGTAGCACCAATCACTTGAATCATTTAGTGAAGCGTGTTAGCCTTGGTTTGCTAAGCCTCATGTTTTGATGTTAACAAACAATATAAGAGCTTGATGTTTGTTTAAGTGTTTCAGGTACAACAAGAATCCATTAAGATTCGGTACTCAAAAATGAAGTCGAAACACCAAACTAGCGTAGAATATAGGTAGAATCCAATGTAAGAATATGATTTTATATACCTATATTCACAAGCTCAAAAGCACTCACAAACTATGTTTAAAACCGTCCAATAAACCTTTTCAAATACCCAAAAGGTTTTAAACTCAAACACGAAGGATTACGGGAATTTTGGAAAAATCAGGACAGTAGCACGGTACCCCTAGCGGTACCCCAAACGGTAGGGTATACTGCCTACACGGTACCCCCATACCGTGTAACGGTACCCGGGTACCCGACGGTAGGCAGAGACGGTTTGCCACCCCCGTCCTAACCATGCACCGCCAGAGGCGAACCAAACTTTTGTCTTACACGGTACCCCCAAACGGTAGGCCATACCGTGGGTCACGGTACCTAGGTACCGGACGGTACTGACCCTACCGTGAAGGGTACCGGATCCGTTGGCAGCACTGTTCCTGATTGCAAATTTTGAATTAAATCAACCCTAATCTCCTCCCAACGGCTAATTAACATCTTCAACTATAAATACAAGCCTAATCCTTCATATTTCTTTAAGAAACAAAGCTCCAAACATCCATATTTAATATTCTAAGTGTGTTCACTCCTTTATTAATTATTTTCTATATTTTGGCTATTTTAAGAGCCTTAAAGTTCCTGATTTTTATACACACACTTTAAGCTTGTGTTTCTAGTTATATACTCTCATATTCATAAGTTTGAATTGTATTTTTGAGAGAGTATACCTTCCTTCTACACCGGCTAAGTTTTGTTCTTCATTTTTATATTCAAGCCGTTGTGTAGAACTCTTGTTTGTGTTTCTCAAACACACCTTCTTACGGTCGAGAATAGCCGTTAAGTTCTCAGGTTGTAACGGTTAAGGATAGCTGTATAAATCCTTGGGTAAAGGTTCAAGGATAGCCTTTGAAATCCTTGGGGGAACGGTACGAGATAGCCGTTGTAAAATCTCGGAGTGAATCCTATTGGCAAGGGTTGTTTGCCAAACTAGTGTGGTGCTTTGACGGAGTTCAAGAGGCCGGAACTTAGTGGATTCCGAAATCCTTGAGGAGGAGCCTCTAGGTACTGGAGTAGGGACTTCCCGAACCAGTATAAAATCGGTGTGCATTCACTTTACGCTTTTACTTTTGCATTTTTATATTGCTTCCGCATTTGCCTACATCGTTTTTATTAAACTCCAAAAAGTTTTTAAACGCCTTATTCACCCCCCTCTAAGGCGTGGGCACAACGACTAAAACGATTAACAATTGGTATCAGAGCGGTTTCGTAGTTGAAAGTGCTTAATTGCATCTACGACAAAGATCCACTTGTTGTGTCCCTTTTTAATTTTAATTTTAAGATCTCAAAACGTTATCTACCCTATTTTTTTAAATTCAAGTTTATTGAAAAATGGCTCAAATGGATTCCCAAAGCATTCACCGCCCTCCATTTTTCAACGGTCAAAACTATTCTTATTGGAAAATGCAGATGGAATACTTTATTCAATCCATTGATTTTGATTTATGGTTGAATATACTTCACGGGCCATTTGTGCCGAGTAATGGTGATTTTGCAGGATTATCTTCGGAGGACAAGAGAAAATTATCCATGAACGCAAAGGCAATCAATATTCTCCATTGCTCTCTCGGCCCCGATGAGTTTGCACGAGTATGTTCATGCAAAACGGCCAAAGAGGTATGGGACTTGCTACAAGCTACTCATGAAGGCGACATCTCAAC